GTGCAAATTGTGACAAATGACACAGTGTGAAGCCAAAGTTACCGAAACGTGAGCATGGCTCTGCTCAGGTACACTCTGCCCTGTGGGAGCGAATCCACACCAGCTCTCACAAGATGCTACACAGACATAACTGAAAGCAGAAGATGGCATACAAGCGTTGAAGAAAGTCAAGACAGTTTCTTTGTGATGCTGAAGGTAATTTTAATTATATTTCATACTGATGTAACTGGTATCTGTTTATTGCCTGGTACTGTATTTGAATATTCAAGAAGTCAATTATCCCTTCAATTTGTAATTCTTGGCTCATGTAATCAATTAGCCTCAGTGAATGTTTAAAATTACTCATGAAAGAGTCTCTCTTTATTATATATAATCTAGAAGAACCAGTAACATCCATTAATAGAATGGATTATTATATTTTTTGGAAAACCTGTTTGGAGTGGTTAGTTGGAAGCAGATTGAATAGCTGAAGTTAAGCATTGTCCAAGTCACTAATCTATTCAACCATACTGTGATCTTTATTAACTAAAAAAATCATTTTGATTAACTGAAAAAAAAGAGTTCTTCTCAGACTTCTCTTCGTATTGACTTTCCATTACTGGCCTCATGTACATCTGCACACACAAGAGTATTAGAACTGATCTCCAGAAGGAAGAAGAGATTAGAAACCAATGCTTGCATGTAATGTGGATGAAGGTTGGGCTGGTCAGGGGTCTGTTTTGTTTAAATTAATGTTTACCTAGTGCAACTAAGGAGCCCTTCCCTACCAGCAAGTCTAGCAGAGACAATCGAAAGACAGCTGGCCCCATTCAAGTTCTTGTCTGGAAAGGTGGCAGATTACTTAAAGAAATGTGAAAGGGAGACTGACAACTTTGTGGAAAAGCAGAAGGTTTAAGCAGTAAAGGAGAGGATGAACACACAAAAATCCAACAAATCAATACTATTTAATCCCCACTTGTGTCTTAAAGCAGTAGCTTATCTGAAGAGCCTGTGTAATTTCAAAAGATAGAAAGACAAAGGCAAAGGAACTAGGTAATAAGACACTATCTTATCGAACAACAGCTTTTAAAAAAATATTGAAAAATTCTCCCTTCCTTTGAATAGAGATAAATATTGATGGTGACTGCTTCTGAGACACGTCATGCCTTGCTGACCTTTCCTTTGAGAGATTTAAGGGAACATAAAAGGAGTTGGTGTGCTATTGGCTACTGAATCTTTCAGACTATGAAACACATATTCAGACACAGTCAAAATTTTAGTATTTAATTGTTTTTAAAATCATTTGCTGAAAGCGGGTGTAGCTTGAGCCCACAGCCACTAAAGTTAAAATATTCTAGAACTGCAGTGGCTCCAGCTGCTGCGAATGTTTGAGGACCTTTTTGAGGTTTGTTCCCTGTCAGCTGTGGCAGCCTTGCCAGGTATTGCTGAGGTTGCATGTGTGGCTTGATTTCTGTGTCATCTTATGATAACACAAACGTGATCCCACAAGTACAGATAATTTCCAGCAATCATTGTTTCTATGTTTCTATGGTTACTGGAAAGAAGAAAACCTCTATTTGTGATTCATAAGAATATACAAAAATAGAATATTTTCCAAAACTTTTGCAAGGTTAAAATTAAATTGTGAGCAGACAATATAGCCATTTTCCCTTCATGTGTGCCATCTCTTTACTCTTTTTCCACTCTTCTTTCCATCACAAGATCCAGCTCCACAGCAAAGCTACTCCTCAGAAATAATCCCAAAGGAGGCAGAGATCAAACTCTTTCCTATGGGGTCCTAAAGACACTTCAGGCGTTGTTCATTCAAAAAGGCGCCAAAAAAAAGAATATTGATTCCAGGGTCTAAAGAATTTCTTATTTATATAAAGATAGCTAGAGCAGATGCAGCAGGAGTCGACAGTAAACTCCTGCTTCATTTTTACAGCATGTCTGCCTATGAAGGCCAATATAATTATTTGTTGAACCTATCATCTACAAGTAGGCTTAGTGTGTAGAATTTAATGAAACCTCCATGGAAATGTGTGTTGTTGCACCTAGAGGCATGGTTTCTTTTTTTCATTTTTCAAGTCCAGGTGATAACTGTATCACATAAGAGAGAACAGTGACGGGTCCTTAGCGACCCATCTGTGCTAACAGGCTCTTGAAATTCATGCAGGACCATCCAAAGTTAGAAGAATCATAGAATGTGTTGGGCTGGAAGGAACATTTGGAGGTCATCTAGTCCAACTGCCCTGCAGTGCGGAGGGACATCTTTAACTAGATCAGGTTGCTCAGAGCCCCAGAGATGGAGCCTCCACCACCTCTCTGGGCAACCTGTTCTAGTGTTTCACCACCCTCATAATGAAGAATTTCCTGACATCTAACCTAAATCTACCCTGCTCTAGTTGTGAAACCATTGCCCTTCACCCTATCGCTATGCACCCTTGTAAACAGTCCCTCCCCAGCTTTTCTGTAGTCCCCTTCAGGTACTGGAAGGCCACTATAAGGTCTCCTCAGAGCCTTCTCTTCTCCAGGCTGAACAACCTCTGAATCTGTTCCAACAGGTCCATGTCCTTCCTGTGTTGAGGACTCCAGAGCTGAATACAGCACTCCAAGTGAGGTCTCACCAGAGCAGAGTAGAGGGGTGGAATCACCTCCCTGACCCGCTGGCCACGTTTCTTTTTCCACAGCCCAGGATCCGATTGGCCTCCTCGGTTGCAAGCGCACATTGGTGGCACATGTCCAACTTTTGTCCACCAGTATCCCACGTCCTTTTCTGCAGGGCTGCTCAGGTCCATGTGAGCTACATGGCTAGTTTAGGTCACTGCACCTGAACAGTTAGCCCTGTTGCTCTAAAGAGTGTGCAAAGGCACAGTGTAACAGTCATCTGACTAGGCTTCAAAGGCATCTAGGATGAAAAGGCATCTAATGATTGCAAAAGGCACATAAAGGAATAAACACGGAGATGCCAAGTGTACCTCCTGGTGCTTTGGTGGCTCCAACTTTGCGTCACTAAATTATCCAACATTTCTTTGGAGAAGTGAGCCAAGGAGATGACAAGACCTTTCTTAGAGACCTCTCTGCTCCATCCCCTGTGTTCTGCTGGAAAAATGTACTTTACTCAAACTATTCACTCATCGTACTGCTCTTGTTACTATTTATACCACAGTAACACGAGTGCCTTAGACAAATAAGACTATAAAGATTGGAAAGGAACTGAAGAATTTGTAATACAAAAGACACACAAAAGTAGAAAGGAAAATTAAAGTGCTAAGACATGAAATCACTAGCCCAAGTTCCCTGAAGTCAGATATCCCACTGCTTGTCTATTTTACCTGTTCTAGTTTGTTGCTGTCAAATGTTATATTTGCTTCGTGAGATTTGCACACACACACGTGGGCACGGCATGAAACATCCCAGGAACAGGATTAGGCATATTTCACGTTGGCGTGTATTCCATCCGGAGAAATGAAATTTTTGAAATCAGAAGGCAGTTTTGCTAGCATCAGACACCCATTATCTCCTGCTGTGAAAACAGCTGCAGGGTGACCGTAATGAGAAGTGGAAATACCTCATTTCTTCCTCAGTGGCCTTCTGGCATTTGCTGATCTCAGTCTGGGTTCAGATATTGTGATTCTGGAAAACAGACTTCAACAGTGCTTCAAATCACAGCAAGTAACATGGAAAGAAGTTACAAGGTTGCTCTTTCATCGCCCCAAATGTGGACATTCTATTGTTTCTTTGCAGATGATATTTTGCAAAAAGGAAGTAATTAAATTCCTTAGTAGTAAATGCAAGGACCGCCAGCATTTGTGTGATGTCAACTTCAGAATTTATACTGGGTTGTATTTTTCCTTCAACTGTATCAAGTGCCACTGAGAAACAATGCTGGAAGTTCAAAAGACGAACAGTGAAAAGTATTCTTGTAATATGTTCCTGTCATGTACACTGTGAGTACATTAATTTTCACTGGAACGATGAAACAGGGAGGCCTATAAAACAACAATCTATTAGTAACAAGGTTCTGCATGTAGTGTCCTAATACACAATTTTGTCTGAGATGTGCAAGAGCCTTGTCAGTGTCAGTGTGATCAATACTAGTTTTAGGGGAAAAAATGAGGGGAAACGTTAGCCTGATGTGAGCATGTGTGAGCAGCAGAATGTGACACGTGCTCTGCTACGTCCCAGCCTGTGCACAGCCAGGCTGGGGTGTTTTCCTAATTAAGGTCAATCTGTGCACACACAGGGAATGGTGAAAGGCAGCTGGTGGAAGAAACACTGTACTCTCTCAGTGTGTGATTCTACACAGCACTGGCCACACACCTGGGCAGCTATGGATATAGCCATGGACATGTAAAACCCTTGGCTGGGGCTGCCTGGCAGTTTGCTGCCGAAGCATATGAGAAGTCGTAGAATCACAGAATTGTTTAGGTTGGAAAAGAGCTTTAAGATCATCAAGTCCAATCATTAGCCTAGCATTACCAAGTCCACCCTAAGCACCTCATCTGCATGTCTTTTAAATACCTCCAGGGACAGTGACGTCCACTTCTCTGAGCAGCCTGTTCCAGTGCTTGATGGCCCCTTTAGTAAAGAAATTTTTCCTAATATCCAATCTAAACCTCCCCTGGTGCAACATGAGGCCATTTCCTCTTGTCCTATTGATTGTTACTTGGGAGAAGAGACCAACCCACGCCTCGCTACAACCTCCTTTCACGTAGCTGCGAAAAGTGACAAAGTCTACCCTCAGCCTCCTTTTCTCTAGACTGGAGCAAGCAACACCCAGCTCACTGAAGGTGTTGGTTTAACAGCATTATGAGCTGCCCTTATGTGTCTTCCTGACCTTGGGCTTTGGCTAGTTTTACCTGTATTGTTTTTGGAATCATATGTGGAAAAATATTTCTGCAAAAGCAGGCTCCCCTTGTGAAAGCACACAACTAGTGTGCATGAGTTTTGCAGAAAAAAAAATTGATTCTGTGGATTTCTTGGCAATTTTTCCTGGGTCAGTCTCAGAAATGTCTCTGTCAAAGCTCACCTCCTTTTGACTTGTCATCTTCGTTTTCCTGCAGAGTCACAGTATTCTGCTTCACAGAGAGATGCTCCAATGTGGCTGCTATGATGATTGGCACCCTGGCCATGATGCTGGATGTGGTCCAAGGAAGCTTAGCGGTGCCTACAAGCTGGTACTTGAATTCCATGATTTTATTTTCTTTTAGAGTGCTGGTGACAGGCATGGGTTTTGGCAGAACCAGTGCATTGGTAACTCTCATGTCCTCAAAGGGATCTGTGTTTGTCGGGAACTCAAATCTCGTCACTTCACTTCGTTCTTCCAAGAAGTGTTGATATCCCGTATTGCTGAAGCCACTATACAGGACAATGCAGTGTATGGCAACAATGACCTTTCTAACATGTTTGCATGTCCTGTTGCCAATGTCTGTTGTGAAGACAATAGCTTCCAGGGCAAAATACTCCTCTCTCCAGAGAAATCCGAAGAGTCACAAATCCATGACTGCAGCAGCAGAAGTAAACTACATCTTTCCTAGCTTCCACCACTGGTGAGGCCTGCCTGAAAACAGTGAGCAGAAAGGCAAAACATGGTGAGTTCTCGTTGCTGAATACAAGGTGATTCCCAAACATCACATGCACAAACTCCTAACTCAATGGCTGAGGCTGCTCTACTCTCCCCACAAGCCCCGCCATTAAGCCAGAAGACAGCCTTCCTCGCTGCACTGAGAGTCCTAAGGGAGACAAGTCAGGCAAGGATCATAGTCAGGACCTGGAATTTTAGGGAAGCAAACTTCCAGGTCTTCAAGGAGTTAGTCAATAGGATTCCCTGGGAAATTGTCCTCAGGGACAAGGGAGCAGAACAAAGTTGGCAGATCTTTAAGGACACTTTCCATAGATTACAAGATCTCTCAATCCTCAGGTGTAAAAAATCAAGCTTGGCTGAGTCAAGACTTGATGGACAAAGTAAAGGCAAGAAGGAACCACACAAGCAGTTCAAGCAGGGACAAGTACCTTGGGAAGAGTACAGGGACACTGTCTGGTTGTGTAGGGATGAGGTCAGGAGGGCCAAGATGCAGTTGGAGCTGAACTTGGCAAGGGATGCCAATAATAGCAAGAAGGACTTGTACAAGTATGTCAGCCAGATGCCATGCAGCATGACCTGGACAGGCTGGAAAGTTGGGCAAAGAGTAACCTTATGAAATTCAACAAGGGCAAGTGTAGGGTCCTGCAGTTGGCGAGAAAAAAACCCATGTATCGGTACAGATTGGGGTGCAAGCTGCTGGAAAGCATCTCTGTGGAAAAAGACCTGGGAGTCCTAGTGGACAACAGAATGACCTTAAGCCAACACTCTGCCCTGTGGCCAAGAAGATCAATGGCATCCTAGGGCGCATCGAGAAGAGTGTGGCCAGTAGTCAACGGAGATCATCCTCCCCCCCTACCCTGCCCTGGTGAGGCCACATCTGGAGAACTGTGTCCAATTCTGGGCTTCCCAGTTCAAGAAGGACAGGGGACTGCTGGAAAGGGTACAGCAAAGGGCTACAAAGATGATTAGGGGGCTAGAACCTCTCTCTTATGAAGGAAGGCTGAGGGACTTGAAGCTCTTTAGTCTGGAGGAGAGACTGAAGGTGGATCTTATCAAAGCTTATAAATATGTAAAGAATAGGTGTCAAGAGGATGGAGCCAGTCTTTTTTCAGTGATGCCCAGTGGCATGACAAGAGGTAATGGGTACGAACCTGAACATAGCAAATTCCATCTAAACATGAGGAGGAACTTTTTTACTTTGAGAGTGGCAGAGCACTGGAACAGGCTGCCCAGAGAAGTGATGGAGCGTCTGTCTCTGGAGACATTCAAAATCCATCTGGATGTCATCCTGTGCAACCTCCTTTAGGTGCACCTGCTCTGGCAGGGAGGTTGGACTTGGTGGTGTCCAGAGGTCCCTTCCAAACCCTAACATTCTGTGACTCTGTGAAGTGTGGTGACTGGAAGAAAGGAAACATTACACTCATTTTTAAAAGTGTAGAAAGGAGGACACCGGGAACTACCAGCCTGTCAGACTCATCTCTGTGCCTGGGAAGATCATGGGACAGATCCTTCTAGAAGCTCTGCTAAGGCACATGGAGGACAGGGAAGTAATTTGACACAGGCAACATGGCTTTACATCATAGAATCATTAAGGTTGGAAAAGACCTCTAAGATCATCACGTCCATCCATCAAACCAATACTACCATGACTACTAAACCTGAAGCACTACATCTACACTTTTTTTTGAACACTTCCAGGGAGGTGTCCTTTACCAAGGGCAAGTCCTGCTGACCAACCTAGTGGCTTTCCACAGTGGAGTGACTACATCAGCGGACAAAGGGCAAACAATGGATGTCATCTGTCTTGACTTCTGCAAGAGGGACGGGATGTCCTCCAGAGGCATCTGGAAAAGCTGGAGAAGTGGGCCCATGTGAACCTCATGAGGTTCAATAAGGCCAAATGCTAGAAAAGGAGTTGAGGGTACTGATGGACAAAACGCTGTAAATGAGCCGTCAATGCACGCTCACAGTCCAGATGGCCAATCACATCCTGGGCTGCATCAAAAGAAGCATGGCCAGCAGATCAAGAGAGGTGATTCTGCCCCTCTACCCCCTGCTCTGGTGAGACCTCATCTGTAGTATTGTGACCAGCTCAGGACTCCCCAACACAAGAAGGACATGAACTTGTTAGAGCAGGTCCAGAGGAAGGCCACAAAAATGATCAAAGAGCCGGAGCACATTTCCTATGAGAACAGGCTGAGAAAGTTGGGGTTGTTCAGCCTGGAGAAGAGAAGGCTCCAGAGAGACCTTACAGTGCCCTTCTAGTACCTGAGGGGGACATACAGAAAAGCTGGGGAGGGACTGTTTACAAGGGTATCTAGCAATAGGATGAGGGGAAATGCCTTTAAACTAGAGCAAGGTAGATTTAAATTAGATGTTAGGAAGAAGTTCTTCACTATGAGGGTGGTGAAACACTGGAACAGGTTGCCCAGAGAGGTGGTGGAGGCTCTATCTCTGGAGGCATTCAAGGCTTAATGGGGGTCTGAGCAATCTGATCCAGTTAAAGATGTCCCTGCTCACTGCAGGGGGGTTGGACTAGATGACCTTTAAAGGTCCCTTCCAACCCAACACATTGTATGATTCTATGATTCTATGACTCTATGGTTCTATGATTCTATGACTGATTCTACTATTCTATGATTCACAGCCCTCCTGAGAATCTGTACAAAAAATTGTGTGAGCACATGTAAACATTGTTTCATTTATCTATCCATAGCCAAATTTAGACAGAGGCCACAAAATCGTTAGAATCATCATGTGCTAGCTCTCTTGAGGACATTTGACTGACTGTCCTAGTCTAGGCAGAGTTTGGTAAAAAAGCACCTCCTGTGGTGATGCTTGGCTAAGGCCTAGACTTCAAAGCAAGAGAACAACCTCCCTTTTCCCACTTTCCCATACATGTCACTCCTGAAGTCTTGCAATGCCCCCTGTACGCTAAAGAAGAAACATCTGTGCAAGCCCTAGGACAAAATTGGCAGAAGATATTGAAGTTTCATTTTGATACTAAAAGGAGGAAGCTCAGAGCTAAAAGTTTGTGGACAATCAGTAGTAAGCAATTACAGCTCCAGATGAGAATAGGGTAGGTCTGTGTGTCTCCAACTTAGCTTGTTCCCATTACCTTGTATTTCATGTGCCTTCTACGGTCACCAAAAATTCCTTGCAACGGTAAATATATCTCCTCTATAGCTAAGACAATTTGGCCGCTGCAGCAAATCCCTCAAACACAGTAGGTGATGTAGCCAATTTCACTGATGAATGTGGAGGGAATGCTTGAAGGAAAGCTGAAGTGGAAGTTAAAAGTGTGGATCCCAGAATTCATCTGAAAGCCAAACAAGCTGCTATTAGAATTCTTTTAAACATTTAGGATGTTTGTACCTTAGAGAAAAGGTTTCTTCCAGAGTTCAAGGCTTCCTTGCTATCTGGTGCTGCACCCAAAGAGCCATAAAGGTATGGTATGGGGTGGACTGTGCAATGCCTCTTCAGGTCAGCTGCTGGATGTATGGACCCTACCTGCTAGCAGACTTGAGAATTGCTAATCTGCCTCATTTAAAACAAGGTCAACAAACCTCCAGCTCCTTGCAAAATGTTTTAAATTATCACTTATCAAAATGGAGTGCCACAGATTTCTAACTTTGTGAATAAACACTAATAGGCTTTTATGGAGTAAAGCAGTGAAATAACTCTCCTCTTTTATCAGTCTGCAACACCTGTGTATATGATCTGTAGCTTCTGTTCCACTTGTGCAAAAGACTCCAATCACAATAAAAATAATATTTGACACTTTCCCTGCACAACTGCAAGACAGGAGAATTATGATCCACTCCTTCTAACATATTGGCTTCTGTACCACTTTGTCTTAATCAAATTCAGGTTTGTGTGGGTGAGGTGCCACTGACTGTAAGGAAAAACTGTCCCACCTATGCAAGGATAAGATTGGCTCCTTCAGACAGATAAGACCAGCTCTTGACTCTTCTTCATCCAAGACCTGTTTCTTCTAAACACATTTATCTGCTGGCAGCTTTATCACTGAGAATTAAGATTTCCTTTCTCCTCTTAGCTTGTGCCAAAACTTCACTTTGAACAACAATATTAGGCAAGATTGCTAGAATTTCATCCTGCTGACTGCATCCTTTTACAGATTAATTCAACAATGACTCGAGTTTTAATAGTCTAAACTGGATATTCCTGTTGGCAGAAGAGCCTGGATATTGTTTCCTCACAGCATGGGAGATCTACCAGATGGCGTAACAGCATTTTCAATCAGAGTTTTAACGCTGAGGAAGAAAGATACCTAAAACTATCTGAAAGGGTGGAAACTAAAATTCATCATCCTCTTAGATAACTGCAATATAAGAAAGTCATGTTCTCTATTCTGACACTTTGTAGAAAACTGATATTCCCAGGGACTTATCTCACATAATCTTATCTTGAAGCTCTTTTGGCAATGTTCTTGTTTTTGCAGAAGGAAGGACTCTGAACTGTGAACAGGTCTGCAATTTAATCTTGAAAGAAATCAGTGTTCCCCTCCTGGAATGATCTGCAGTTGGAGCCACTAGTGTGCGTGGTGTGTTTTGCAGCCCAGCACGGTGTGAGGATTTGTGGAGAGTTCCCATTCCTCAGTCCCTGCTGCAGGTACGGCCCAGGAGCCTGACTGCGTGCAGGGCTGAAGCAAGTGCAAAAAGTCTTACAGATATTCATTTCCTTCTGTCTACAGCTTTAATCCCGCTTTGTCTGGGTTTTTTTGCACCAATTCTAAAGAGAATTCTTTAAACTGTGCCTGCTTGCTAACTTTCCACACAGTCCCCCAATCTCAGAAGGACAGTGGCTTTAACCATGGTCCCTGAATTTGCCCTGGAAGCAAAGGTGCCCTCGCTTTCCCTGTCTACCCATGGCTGCTGGATGTGAATTTTGCACAGGAGAACCTGTCCACTACATGGGCACCAAAAACCTTATTCCCTGAAACAGTGTAACAGAATTCATTCTGATGTAGGGAGTTTCCCAGCAGCTGCAGGAGTGTTCTCACAAGAGTTAGTTCCATGGAGGCATCTGAGGTTTTCAGCAGAACCTTGGAACCTTAGTCACACGGGAAAATTTAGGTCAATTGCAGATAATTTATTGTGTTTCTTAATTCAAAAATTGTTCCCTCTTGTATTTTCCATCAAGGGGGATGATGGCAGCAGCTGTGGAAAAAGTGCAAAGAGATTGCTGGTAGCAGTGACTTAAGGAGTGAACCTTGCTATGAAGGACACAAGGGATCTTCTAGGGTGTGAGTGATGGTGCACAGCACTGCTTGAAGAGTTTCAGATTGCAAATAATGTTGTAATATCTTGCCTCTTGTTTGGTCTGACTGAGGGGTTTCTGCTGGTGATGAGGACGGCTATCTCTGGTAGTGCTGAAACTCATCTTTTTCTTTTCTGGATCTACTTATCTTAGAGCTGTTACCAGTTGTATTTGATGACTGCCAGGAGCTGGTTCCTCCAGCAGTCTTTATCTCACAGAGAGATGATATTGGGTTTCTTGTGCAGTGACAGGGCTTACCAGGGTTAAAAAGAAATATGTCAGCAGGCACCTGGATCCATGTACATACACTACTTGCAGAGACATGAGATGTGACCCAAGTAGGGCATGTGGTAAGATCAAACACCAGATAGCAACATGCTATCAAGAGCATGTTAGCAGCTGAATGTCAAAGGCTGACACAGGCAGCAATCTGTTCGAACATACATTCCTTGTATGCCAACAGCAACGGGGAGCACAGAGGGTCAGGTCAGGTCCATATCCTCTTTCATGTTTTAAAATGGCTTTCTTGCACTTGTTAGAGCACTTCTACAGAGATGTAATCAATGCAGGAAAAGGAGGAAAAAGACTGTTATGGTAGTAAAATCTATTGTTAAAACTGTACTGCATTGGTAAGACTTGATGAATGTGGGTGCTCAACTCTTTTGAAAACAAAGATATATGTGTAGGTGCAGAATATGGATTCAAGCCTGTCTTTAAGCAACGCTAGTTTGCACTTTAGCTGAAAAGATCCAGAACTGAGGTGCTTTACGGGTACTTGTTCTTGTAAAAGCAAAAATAATTTTTCTAACACTCGACCTTTCTCCCTCTTTTCTGTCAGGCCTATAACATCTGGTAGTCTGCAGGAAGTGTCAGCTTGCTGTGGTACATCAAGGCTAAGACTCTAATGTATGTGTAAAGGGAAAATGACCTTTGGGTGAGGTAAAGCCTTCAAATCTGAGAGTAAATGAAACCTGATCACTGCAGGTTGTAGCTCAAAAGCACAATTCCCACATGCTGACACAGTCTAACTTCAGTACTAAACTCATTTAGGGCAGCGACCACCTGCAATCTGTAGATGAAATTTTCAGGGTTCCCAACAGACCCTTCAAAAGAGGAGTTGAGAGAATGGAGTGCACCTCCCCTGGAATAATTCACTCATTTAGGTGGTCATTACATCCCACCGACTTTACTCTTTTCAATAAATCTGTACATTTTATTAGTTAGCTCTGCATTTATGTGTGTGCCTGCTGGGGTTTATAATATACAGAGAAGCTGCAAAGAAGATAGAATCACAGATTGTTAGGGGTTGGAAGGGACCTCAAAAGATCATCTAGTCCAATCCCCCTGCCAGAGCAGGGTCATCTACAGTAGGTCAGACAGGAATGCGTCCAGGTGGCTTTTGAATGTCTCCAGAGAAGGAGACTCCACAACATCCCTGGGCAGCCTGTGCCAGTGCTCTGTCACCCTCACAGTGAAAAAGTTTTTCCTGATATTTTTGTGGAACCTCCTATGTTCCAGCTTGTACTCACTGCCCCTTGACCTGTCATTAGATGTCGCTGAAAAGAGCCTGGCTCTGTCCTCCTGACACTCCCCGTTGACGTATTTATAAAAATTTATGAGATCACCCCTCAGCCTCCTCTTCTCCAAACTGAAGAGACTTTCAGCCTTTCCTCATAAGGTAGATGTTCCACTCACTTCATCATCTTTGTGGCTCTGCGCTGGACTCTCTCCAGCAGTTCCCTATCTCTCTTGAGCTGAGGGACCCAGAACTGGACACAATATTCCCGATGTGGCCTCACCAGGGCAGAGTAGAGGGCCAGGAGGACCTCTCTCGACATACTGGCTACTCCCCTTCTAATACACCCCAGGATGCCATTGGCCTTCTTGGCCACGAGGGCACATTGCTGCCTCATGGTCATCCTGCTGTCCACCAGAACCCCCAGGTCCCTTTCCCCTACTCTGGTCTCCAGCAGGTCAGTGCCCAACCTATACTG